TATATATTCATTAGTTTAGGCATATTAATTCAAATTCTAAAAAAACTAAAATGTAATGTAGGTTGATAAGAGTGAATCAGGCAAGTTTCAAGAAGGGTGATTCGTGGGTTGCTCAAGTAGATTTCTTGAATCTTAAAAAAAAACATATATAACATTTTTGAGTCAATATAATTCCAATTTATTTCGAGTTAAAAAAAATACAGTGATATATTTATATTGAATTAAATCACTTAATAAAAATTAATAATAATAATAATATCAATATCAATCATAACCATAATTACAACAACAATAATATTGATAATAATAACATTAATAATAATAATAATAATAATAATAATAATAATAATAATAATAATAATAATAATAATAATACATTTTAAGTACAGAGTATTTGTGTTTACCTAATCGATATTTTCTGTGTTGCTGTTTAGTCGCTTTATGTTGGTGTGTTGGAATACTGAACGCATCCAAGGCGATATTTTTCGGGCTCCATTTGTCTCTTTCGCTACATTGTCAAACAAACTAGGCATCGAATCCACTCGCCATTCTGTGCCAAGGCTGTGTAAAAAAATTTGAAATGTTATCCTTTAAAATATGCCGCAAATTATCTGGGAATAGGAAAGAGAGAAAGAGAGGAAAAGGGAAAACAGATATTGAAAAAGAAAAGAAAATGTAATAAAGACAAGAAAGAACATAAATTCACAATTATTATTATTATTGTTATTATCATTATTATTTTTGTTATTGTTATTATTATTATTATTGTTATTATTATTATTATTATTATTATTATTATTGTTATTATTATTATTATTGTCATTATTAATATTATTATTGTTATTATTATTATTATTACGGTATTACTGTTATTATTTTTATTATTGTTATTATTATTATTGTTATTTTTATTATTATTATTATTATTATTATTATTATTATTATTATCTTAACAGGGATTGACATTGAAGTCTGGTTTTCTTAAAATTTCTACACTGTCGCTACAGTGTTTTCATTGCAATCGTTGTAATGCGTGGCAGTCCCCGACGCAATCGAGAAGGCTCCCCAATTCAACAGACCAATCAGCATCACCGAAAGCTGCCGGCGATAACGTGTAGCGATTGGCTACTTGAAGTATCACGTAAACGTACTACTCTCTTCTACTTGACTGAACCGCCTCTGTCAAAATATGCGGATAACAAGATCATTCCCAAGTAGTTAATTGAATGCTTCGACTAATTAGAGTTAATTAATAGCAATAGCGCAACAATTTAATCAACCAGACCCGTCAATTAACAATCTCAAGTTGATCTTGTTAGTTTCATTATGTCGTTGATCGCGTTGATTTGCTCTTTAATGTTATTGGATAATATGTTTTCAAAGAATTTCATCTGGTTCAGTATACAATATATACGGATATAATTGCTTGACAATATATACAGTGGTCTACATATAGTGTGGTTTTTTTTCTTCTTTCTTTGTCAGATTCGCCTTCTGCTCCGTTTCAATTCATAGTATTCCGCTTGCTGTTTCTGGGCTTTTCCCATATACCTTTAAATCTCTCTCTATATAAACAACAGCTAAAAATCAAAAACGTAAGTAAATAGTCAGAAATATAACCAGAGCTTTCCGAACAACACTTGTCCTTCCTCAATGGCGAGTGAGTGGAAGTAGAAAATGCCAAAATTATATATATATATATATACATATATATATACATATATATATATAAATAGTATATATATATATATATATTTATATATATATATATACATATATATATATATATACATTGTGTATGAATACATATATAAGGCCAAATACTGGATAAAAACAATGCTGTGTGAAACGATGATGTGGATCTTAGTTGAGATACAAATTTGAAAAGCAAAAGCTAAATCTTGTCTTATCCCACAGGTTTTAGCAAAGTGATTTACTAAGATCATTTTAACAAATTGCATATCGAGGATTGAAATTATGAAGTCGTTATTGAAAATTTGAGCTGGAAAACCGTCTGGTTAACAGACATTTTCTTAGTTGATGACGTAAGCTTATCTTATTTCTCTATATTCAATTGTAACAGTTATATTTTTAAATCTCATTTGTTTTGTAATTTGATATGGACATTGTCTGAAGTAAACGGAACTGACAGATAAATTGATTTTGATTGATTGATTGATTGATTGATTTATTTATTTATTTATTGAATACTATTTAATTTATTATAAGTTGATGATATGATAGGACGTGGTACAGTACCGATATGATAACTGCATAGATCATCTATCTCCTAATTCATCTTGGACCTATTAATAATTATATATCTCTTTAATTCATTGGAATGGTTGTCAGATAAGGGAAACAATTAGGATGTGAGGCACTAAAAACAAGCGAAAAGTGCATTAGCTTTTTAAATTATTGATATGACTTTTATGGGTGAATAAATTCATTGGGTTTCATTATGAAATTTTGTCAAGACACTGAATTGTTAAATTTTGCTATGAAGCACAGTGTTCATCATCTTATAATTAGACATACAGGAAAGAAGATGAAGCTGGATTGATTGCTTTTTAGGTGTGGGTTGGGGGAAGTTATGGAAAGATAAATAACAATTTGTGGGGGTTTTTTTTCTTAGGTATTTAAAGTTTTAAACAAAGAAAGCTATGAACACAGGGTAATTAAAGAGATTAGAAACAGGAAGATGAAAAAAATACATATTATACAGTTATAGACAGATAAAATGGATGGATAGATGAATAAATGGATAGATCGATTGATAGATAGATGTATTGAAATGTGGATGGATGGATTAATGATTGAATGAATGAACGAACGAACGAAAAACGAACGAATTTATGAATAAATGAATGAATGAATGAATGAATGAATAAATAAATAAATAAATAAATAAATAAATAAACAAATGAATGAATGAATAAATGAATGAATGAATGAATGAATGAACGAACGAACGAATGAATTAATAAACGAAGGAGACCGACCGAACGAACGAACAACCGAATGAATGAATAAATAGAGGGATGGATGGGCATATAGATGACTGAATAAATGGATTGGTGGATTAATCATGGATGGATGGATGTGTTGATGAATAGATCAATGGGTTATGTTGGATGAATGGGTGGGTGAATGGATTAAGGGATGTTTGATATATGGATGTGGGATGAATGAACAAAAGATAAGTGGATGTATGTATGTCTGAACAGATGGACAGACAGGCACACATAGTCCTACATTGATAATCTCACCTTTTAGTGTTATCACGTTTACCCCAACGTTGGCGTGACCTGACATCGCATCCCCTTGGCGGGCATCCACGAGGTTTTGCAAGGCACGAGATCACTAGAATCATAACGAACAGTACAACTACACTCCAGCGCATCACCATAATTCTTTTCAAATAATTAAAGAAATGCAATTGTTTAGTTGGCTACAAGAAATAACACTTAGGTATTCCACGGAGCAATATCTTGTGGGCACATCTGTTACTAAACCTAAAGAGAATTCTAACATAGCAATAGTGATAAAATCGCACGATACATTCGGTCATAATTAATGAGAATTGCATTTAACTTGTCATAGGGTAACAATTTCAATTACATATTTTGTCTTTTTGAATTAAACTTAGTTTCTGCTTATAGGATAATGCTTGCTTCAAAAGTTATGATCTGGAAGTTTAACCAAGTTGATTTCTTCATTTCTTTTGGCTTCTCAGGGATAACTCTAATAACCAAATATCTGACTTAAAGGAGCCCTCAAGATACACAGGCATTACATCATATTCAAATATATAGTAAACTTTTTATATTACAATATATATCGAAATGCAAATATATACATAAATTAATAATAATAATTATTATTATTATAATAACAATAATAATAGTAATAATAATAATAATAATAATAATAATTATTATTATTATTATTATTATTATTATTATTATTATTTTGTTTTATATTAGGTGTACAAAGATTAGATTTACTGTAACTTTCTGTAAGATTTATGTGTTATGAAATTGGGGTTTTTTTTAGGTAAACAGACAGATTTAAGATAAATATTGATTTTGCTGTATTTGACTGTAGTTTTATTATTGGTTAGTGACATTTTTATAGCATCTTTGGTCACTAAACATAGGGCCTACATTACTTTATTTGGGGGAGGGAACAAAATATTGTGCACATATCTCCTGAATTGTGTACTATTTTTCGCGGCATTTCTAATAATGGTTGGAGCCTTTTGCATGCTAGGCTTGTCACTGATGGATTGCATGTAGATAATTTAAAAGAAGGCATGGGTTAACAATCCATCACCGATAAGTGAACCACGCCACGGATGCTAAACGGCCCATGCTGCTATGTATTTGATTATTATATTAAGTATTCATATAGCAGCCGTCGCATGCAGCGCTCCTGGTGATCCAGGAAGGTTCCCAATCGAGTTAACACATCATACAACATAAGTACAGACTATTTCGTCATTTTCTACCAGGTGCACGATTATACACCTGATTACAGAAGTACAAATATAGCAGGAAGTACACGCCAACGTACACCTCTCCACGACATACATACCCACACACATACATACATACATACCCACACACATAGCCTATAAACACATAAGCTTTAGATAGCCTAATTCCCGAACCTATTAATTAATTGTGTGTATGCATGAGAGGCGCAGTGTTGGATCAGATTTTTGTTATTATCGATGTAGAAAAAATATGATTCATGACTATAAGAAATCGAATTTACTCTCCGTACAGAGAAATATAATTAAATTGCTTGTAAAAGTTCTCCGTGAAGCTATTTTATTCATTAAATGGATATATGGTATATTTCATCTATGAAAAATAAATTTACATATAAAAATAATAACAACTTTGCAGCGCAGCCGAAGCTAAATTACATAAATCATTCATTTATATTTATTTACAGTTTGCAATCCAACAAGACGTTTCAAATATATAATAAAATAATATAGAAATAAATGTAAAGAAATCACTAAATAATGTTATGTTTTTGTGCAATGCCAAGTTTCATATGATAACATTCTGCTACAGTGTAGTTCAAATTAAAGTTAAGAGTCTTCAGTATGTTTTTTTTTTCTCGCCTACGCAGTCATCATATCTTACAATGTATAAGGGTAGCTAGTAACGATAAACGGCCAAAATCCGATGAAAAGATTTTTGGATAACTTGAGAGGCGAATTATCGTAACAGCTAGCACACTTCACCTTGGTGTTTAGGCCTATATTACATGGTAACACGGATTGCATTTATTACTAATTCTAATTTAATTCAATTCAGTCGCAAGTTTCTGCATTAGTATTTCACATGAAAAATACATTTAAAATGCATTTATAGGCCTACGTGTATAAATTAACAGCATAAGTGCGACAACATTAAAACCAGGGTTGACATTTTAGTGAAACATAAATAATTTGTTGCTAGCGACTACTTCGGTCTCTCCAGTGGCCTATAACAGCGTGCGAAACACATGAATATTGTATATCTTAACCACTAAGCACTTACCAGCTACGACAATTTGAAGAAACAATGAAATATCGGGACCATTCGAAGTGTTAAAGAGTGGTTGAATTTAATTGAAAATTTGAACCCACTCACTATACGTCATTATAAAAGTTGTTAAAAATGAAATAGTTTTACATTTAAACATAAATCATATGTGTTATTTTTAGTCAGGATTTACCACTGAAAACTGTGACATTAAAATGTCCCCAATTGTAGGTAATATGAATTGCTCATACTGTATTATTTCCATAACGATGATGATCAAACACTAAAAAGTTTTAATAGTGCATGATTTGTACAACGCTTTAAACATCTTAGAGTAATTCATAATGTCCCTTAAAAACGATGTTATTTTTATGCAATTGAAGATTATCTAAAAGAAAATAATTAAAATGTATGATTAATGACGTTGCATTTTGTTTGATTCAGTTATTACTAAAGGTCATTGACCCATGTAAGTCAAAAGTACGTTCGACAGTTAAAAAGACAATAGCTTTAGTTTGATAAAGTTTCATTAAATGTATATAATTATATATATATATATATATATATAACTATATGTCCTTCTCTAAATATGTATCCCATATTTTTTATAGACCTATATTTATTATTTGCGTATTACGCAATACCTTGAGAA